AGGAAGGGAGAGAGGAAGGAAGGGAGGGAGGAAGGGAGGAAAGGAGGAAGAAGGGCAGGGAGGAAGGAAGGAAGAGAAAGAGGCAGTGGGGGAAGGAGGGAAGGAAGGATTACAATGACTATAACTTACTGAGTTGTTCTATTGTGGCCCGAAATAGGTTGTGTTTCTTCGGAATTACAAAACATTTCCTTTTTTTTTTTTTTTTTTTTTTGAGGTGGAGTCTCGCTTGACACCCAGGCTGGAGTGCTGGAGTGCAGTGGCGCGATCTCGGCTCACTGCAAGCTCTGCCTCCCGGGTTCACGCCATTCTCCTGGTTCAGCCTCCCGAGTAGCTGGGACTACAGGCGCCCGCCACCACGCCCGGCTAATTTTTTGTGTTTTTAGTAGAGACGGGGTTTCACCGTGTTAGCCAGAATGGTCTCGATCTCCTGACCTCGTGATCCGCCCGTCTCGGCCTCCCAAAGTGCTGGGATTACAGGCGTGAGCCGCCGCGCCCGGCCAAAACATTTTCTTTGTGAATTCCTAGTGATTTAGAACTGCACTGCCCAGTACAGTAGCTACTTGCCACATGTGGCTATTGAGCCCTTGAGATATGGCTAGTCTATATGAAGATGTGCTGTAAATGCAAAATGCATATCAGAATTCAAAGACTTAGAATGAAAAAAAGGACTGTAAAATATTTCATTAATAACATATTAATCACATGTTAAAATTATATTTTGAATATATTGGATTAAATAAAATATATTAAATGTAAAAAAGTAGTAGCCCTCGTTTCTGGCATTATTTGCACTCATAGTTAACTGAGCAAAAGTGTTCAATAAGCTGGAGAGCCCTACTAGTCCACAAGCCCTTGGTGAACAGGGACCCTGGGAAGGAAGAATGTGGGTTAACTGGATGAGTGAATTAAGTAAATGTTGGTTAACATCAACTCTAAAGAAACAAGATAACATACTGTGTTATAAAGAAGTGCAGTTGATAAGTAACACATTAGACAGATGACTATCTCCTGACAAGTGATTTGGTGAATATGGATACTTTGGTGGGGGCAGGAAAGAAAGTATGAACTTTGAAGTGGAGATTCAGAGATGGGTAATTGTGAATATTTATGGAGAACTGCGAGTGTGTAGCTTGGCTTGAGTAAAGGATTCATGCAATGGGGTAGAGTTAGCACTTACAGGCCAGGTGCGGTGGCTCATGCCTATAATCCCAGCACTTTGGGAGGCTGAGGTGGGTGGATCACTGGAGCTCAGGAGTTCAAGACCAGCCTGGGCAACATGGTGAAACTCTGCCTCTACCAAATATACAAAAATCAGCCAGGCATGATAACTCAGGCCTGTAGTTCCAGCTACCCAGGAGGCTGAGGTAGGAGGATCACTTGAGTCCAGGAGGCAGAGGTTGCAGTGAATTGAGATCTCGGCACTGCACTTCAACCTGGGCGACAGAGCGAGATCCCATATCAAAAAAACAAAAAAAAACCAAGGAAATAAAAAGAGTTTGGTCATACACATATAAAATTAGTATATGTAGCTCAAGGGAATAATTATTTCATGTAAAATTTTCATATAAATTTACTTTACCAGGAGAAATGGGCCTAACACATGCTGGAGAATAATGAAAAGTTCTGAGTGCAAGCTTTGTAGACTCTCACAAGCAAGCATATAAATGGAAGAATATAGAAAATGATGCATTGGCCGGGCATGGTGGCTTACACCTGTAATCCCAACACTTTAGGAGGCCAAGGCTGGTGGATCATGAGGTCAGGAGTTCGAGACCAGCCTGGCCAATATAGTGAAACCCTGTCCCCACTAAAAATACAAAAATTAGCTGGGGGTGGTGGTGCATGCCTGTAATCCCAGCTGCTTGGGAGGCTGAGGCAGGAGAATCACTTGAACCAGGGAGGCGGAGGTTGCAGTGAGCCAAGATCACGCCACTGCACTCCAGCCTGGGCGACAAAGTGAGACTCCATATCAAAAAAAAAAAAAAGAGAGAGAAAAAGAAAATGATTCATTACATTTTGTTCTGGCTGAGCACTTTTATGTTCCTGTTATAACCTAGGTTTAATTTTTAAAACTTGTTATTAAGGCAAAATGTAGATAAAGTACACATACCATTAATAGTAGAGCTTGATTTTTACAAACTGTGAACACATCCATGAAATCAGTACCTGGTGCAAGAAGTGGAGTATTGCAGCACTGAGAACCGCCCCGTGCTCCTTCCAACCTACCACCAGGACCATCAGTATCTGACTTAACAGCATGCATTAGCTCTGCCTGTTTTTGTATTTTTATATAAAGGGAATCACACCATGTAATCTTTTATGCCCTATGCTTAAAGAATCAAACTAAACTTTGGATGACTGAACCCCAACTCAGCATTTCATTGTGAGTTTGGACAAGTCTCTTAACCCTGTTTCCACATCCGGAGAAGTGGATTATAACAGTGTTTGCCTCATAGGGTATTGTGAGGATTAAGTGAGATAATGTATGTAAAAGTTTTAGCACAGTGGGTGGAGTGTGGCTGCAGCTGCCACACTGTACTCAAACTTATAGTCTGCAAACTTCTGAATATGAGAGAGGGAAAAAAAACATGTCATCTGGGCAGAGTCCAACTATTCCTTTATTCACAAATGAGCATCTACACATACAATGGGGAACTTGGCTATTTGATCCATCTCACTTTTGGCCAAAGGAGAAAAGATATTTCTGTTATACACTTATTCATCTCCCCTTCTAGAATAGCAGCTTCCTTAAGGGAAAGGTCATGCACTGTTTACCATAGTATATGCAGTGCCTAGTGCAGGGCATCATAAGCACTTAGCTAAACTGAATAAACACGTAAGTACTAACAATATTAGGGCTTAGGACATTATGTTCAAATCTGCTCAAAACTTTTGAGCTTTGTTTGGCAAAATTACAGTAGTTAAATCAGAGTAAAGTGAATCTCCTGCTTTCTTTCCCTGTGCTGGCCAGGAAAATCCAATCAAACCTAGCACATTCTGTACTTGGAACTTGAGTTAAGCATACCAGGTATGGAAACTTCAGAAATAAGGGCAGTACACACTACTACTTTTAATAGTATTTGCTCCAAACTCAACAGCTTTTGATGTACTTAGACCAACACGCCAACATGTTTTCAAAAACATTCTCTTCCTAGCACATCAGTCACAAGTATTTTCCAAGTGTACTTTATCTTGATTTTCTACTGATATATTTCACGTATTATTGACCATATCCATACTCATTAAAAAAACAAAAAAAGGCCGGGGTAAAGTGCAATGTTCCAACAGAATTCTACTTGGTTCAATTTATCATCTACTACTTAATTAAAAATAAATTTTCACTTCTCACCAAGTAGGAAGCACCTCTTCAAATACTATCATCAGTTTTACATTACGAATTAAAGGTCTGATTGGCTGGCAAGCCTACCACTATAGAGATAAGTCAAGCAGGAAATTATACGGCTATAAAATGAATTGAAAGATTTTAAGAGCATAATACAATTTATTGGCTATGAAGCAAAACTAGCTTCATGCAGATAACTAATAAATCAAAGCTATTTATAATTCATAGTATAAAAAAGTATAGTTAATATTCCGAGTCATAACTAATTTTTTAAATTACTTAAATTTAACAATTGGCGAGATTTTTCTAAGCACCATGATAGACACAGAAATGAAGGAGTTATAAACAGCAATCCCTACTCTTCAGAAATGTATAGTCTGGTGGGAAAGTTTTATGGAAGCACTAGGATAATCAGGAAATGACTCACAGACCCGTGCCTTGAAGGCTAAGATTTTAACAGGCTAGGGAGACAAAGAAAAGTCATACAAAGGGGGCCCAGCGCGGTGGCTCACACCTGTAATCCCAGCACTTTGGGAGGCTGAGGCGGACGGATCACTTGAGGTCAGGAGCTGGAGACCAGCCTGGCCAACATGGTGAAACCTCATCTCTACTAAAAACACAAAAATTAGCCGGGCATGGCGGTGCACACCTGTAATCCCAGCTACTGGTAGAATTGCTTGAACCTGGGAGGTGGAGGTTGCAGTGAGCCGAGACGGTGCCACTGCACTCCAGCCTGGGCGACAGAGCGAGACTCCCTCTCAAAAAAAAAAAAAAAAAAAGAAGAAGTCATACAAAGAGGATATTACAAACACGGGCCTGGAGATGGGAGTGTGCACATGTGTTCCAAGTCGCCAGTATGACTGAAAAATGAAGTTGGTCATGTCCAGGTTAGGGAGTGAAGGAGGAGAATTATTATTCAGGCAACAGAGAACTATGGAACATCTGTTTTTTATATTTGTTTCTTTCTGTTTACATATAAGGAGAGAATGTGCCTAGTCCTCTCAGCAGTTTTATTTCATGCTATAAATTAACAGATTGGCATTATAATTTCATATATCAGTCATAAACTTGATGTAAGCCTTCTACTGAGAGGTACTCATTTTTAATGAGTTAATTCCCTCAGACTTCTGAGCCTACAAGGCTAAAGATAGAATCTAGATGGTGATGAATTTACTGAGGTAATATAATACCAAAGAGCCCTGCCTGGATGACCAGTGTGCCTTTCCCAGATGACACCCTTATGCCACTGTTCAATTTCTTGACATTTCTATAGAATGGAGACAGAGGCCATATGCAGGCTGAGAATTCACAGCTGACTTCAATGTGGGGGTGGATTACTCACTGGGTAAATGAAGGGAAGGCAATACCACTAAGTGACAGAACAAAGGAAGGGCAGGTCAAAGTTGGGAAAAAGGAAATCTGCTTTGAATATGTGTTTAAGGCGCCAACAGGAAGTGTCATGTGAAAGTATCTGAAAGGCAGCTGAAAATCTGGTTTTAAATGAGGCTCAATAAAGGGGCAATGTTGTATTTACTGGTAAAATCACCATTAAGAGAGTTCTAAGTGAGAAAAAAGGCCTAAGAACAGAATGTTAAGTCTCTAAGGATTCTATCAGTCCTTATAAAGCACAAAACCAAGTGAAATGAGCAATGCCAAGTCAGCTTGTACACAGATGCTTTATTTTGGATGTTAATATGTCGACATTGTATGCAAGATTCTCTTACAATGGAGTTTTCCATATATCACAAAACTCAATTTAGTCAGGGTAATTGCTGTATTAATGTGAAAACCTTACAATAAAATGCAGTATTATATATGTGTAGTCAGTTTCCATGCAAGTATGGCTGCTACATGTATGTCTGGCATTTGTATAACATGCTGAAAGAAACTCAGAGGAACAAAACATTATAAAGGTGACTTAAGATGCCTGACATGTTTAAGATTAAAAAATCTTGCAAAAAGCAACAAAGCAGTTAACTGAAGGATTCAACCAATACCAACCCAAATATGTGTTATGTCCAATAAGCCCAGACTTATCCACAATATATTACCATTTAGGATAATTTAATGCTCAAGAAAAAATATGCTTTAAAAATATAGCTCTTATAAGATATTATACTTTGGTGATTGCAGACTATGTATATCCAGGTAAGGGCTACATTAAAAACAACAACAACAAAAAACTATTATGTGCTATTAGTTCAAGGTAACTGAAATGATCCAGTATGAGTTTGCTACAATCATTGGTTTCACTAAGTGAAATTTCTGTGAGAAGTTCATTAATTAGAAAGCAATCAACATACTTAAACATGCTAAGAAGATTCAAATTGGTTTATCTATTTATCAACAAGGCATAATCTTAGTACCATACATTTTCTTCACTTCTCACTATATATATATGTGTGTGTGTGTATATATATATAAAAAATATGCAAAAACTAGCAAGTAGATTTAAATAGCTTAAAACCCTTTTAGGTCTACTGTTCAAGAGCTAAGCATTAAAATACTTAGTATTTCCATTTCTATTAACATACGAACAGAGCAGAAAATCTTAACCTGCTTTCATTTTGTTTTTTAAGGCATAGTAGTATTTTGGTATTTGTAAGAATTTGCCTGGTAATGGTTGATTCCATTTAGTTAACTTGAGAACTTGCCATCATTTGTTTTTTATCTTTTCACACAGTGCAAGTGGTGGTCGCTCTTTCCTTCTCTCGTAGCAGCAAGCCGATTCTGCTATTTTCTATAGCAGCATACTTCAGGAGTGGAGAGGGAGAGAGTGTGTCAATTATAAATAATTCAAACTACAGTGTACAATTCTATTTACCTGTCAGTGTTTAAGTTGACAGCACACCATTATATGACTGAAAAAAATTACATATAATCTCTACCACAAAAGCAAATAAAAAATCTTTCAAGAAGAAATAAAATAAGTGCAAACACCTAAAACAGGCAACTGAAGCAACTGTTGTAACCTGTAGAGAAACACAAAACATTTAAAAAAGGACAAAATATTTTTATAAATAAAAGATAATGTTCTCCACTTCTGAAACACTGAGTAAATACAAACTTCTAAGTGCAGACTGTTTTTAGGGACCAAGGTACCATATTATTTTTTAAACAAAATGCAAAAATTTCAAAAACATATACAAATCACCAGATTAATGTATATGACCATCCCCGATATAATTTAAAAAGAAAATATTAAATTATTATTTAGTACATTTTTAGAACTACTTTATAACCAACATGATTTAAAGGGCATAGTGCAACATTTAGGTAGATGTGACATATAGTAGAGATATTGTATTCTTTGCAGCTATAACTTACTATTGTTTCATACTTAAAGTCAAAATTTTTCTTTACTGTGTTAGCTGTAATAACAGGAAACAACATTGGCTTCTAGGCACCCTGTATACGTATAAATATCTACATTTAAGCTTTAAAAATAAAAATAAATTATAAAAAACCGACTTCTTTCCAATTTACAAAGTCCTCCTGCTCCTACATACTGTACAATACATTCAACAAAATTCTCAGCTCTTCTGAGATTAAGAAAATCCTATTTACTAATAAAGAAAAAACTCTTTTTTGAATGCTTTTTGTTTTCAGTACTATGCTCAAATAAATACATTTAACACTGTAGTTAATTTTACTGCTTCTGAAAAAAAAAAAATTAGTAGTGCAACTTTCTAGCCTTCCTTTAAATTCCTTTTCAATGTGTTTCTTTGTAAATGGTAGCCTAAGTAAATCAGCACGTGGGCAAAAGTACTTCATAAAATCGTGTGCTTTCCATACATAGACTAATTTCAGAAATCATATCTACTCTTACACCTATCTATAACAAAACTGCAGCATCAAGAGAGTAGCAACATATATCTTGTGAAGAAAATATGAGAATTTACTTTTAGAAATCCATGAACATTCTATTATTTTCCCATCTTGTTCTTTAAAAACAATTTTTAAAAATCTCATCTCTTAAAAAATAAACTATGAAACTGTCTACCCCTTAAGTGACTTACTAGCTTTCTGCCTACTATGTAGAATAGAAAAAAGATGCTGTATTAAAAGGGCTATCTTACAACTTTAAAAACAACTAATTGAGAAAAATTTCACTGCAACCTAATTTAGTAGAGATTGCAGTAAGGGAGGGGGGCATTTCATCAATTTTAATAATAATTACAGTATGAGAGCTCTTGAAGTACTACTGGTAGCTGTGTAAGTACTCAGATATCTTCTTGCTTGTTCAGTCATAATAAGTTGGTCTTCTGTCTTCCCATAAACCACTGTTTCCCATTCACAATTTGACTAGAAAGGAAATATTAATAGTGATGTGAAAAGTATTAAAATAACTATCCATATTATATCACAATTAGACTCTTAAAGTCAGTTATTTAAACTGATTAGATATTTCATAAGCAATAATTATAAAAATGTTTTAACAATGGCATTGTATTTTTTAATAATAATGTTTTTAAATATATACTGAAATATTTTTGATCAAGTTTTTAAAAAGTCAATTATTTTAGCTATCTATATTGCTTACAGGCCTATGAAGGCAGTTTAGAAGTCTTCCCCCCAAATCAAATGAGTCTTAACATGGAAATAAATGTTAGTCATTACTGCTTCAAAATTTTGCAAAGGGTTTAAAGAGAGGATGTAATGTCAAAAAATGAGCCAAGAATGCTTTATTTAAAAATTAGGAAATATATTCATAGCAAAAAAATCAAGTTTATGTTTTTTTCTTCCCTTATTATAAAGATTACTATGTTATAGACGTGATCTTCTATATAATAACTTTCCCCAAAAGTTCTATGTTAATTAAACGCTGGGAACTCAAATCATTTTACATGGATTAAGAGAATGTGCTACATGGCTCTTAGAAAGCAGCGGCTGAAAACAGATGTAAGGTGGTCATATGTGATTGCCAAAGATGTTTTCAAGGTATGCTTTAACATCAGGAATACTAATGCTGCAGTCACTGTGGCATAAAGAAGAAAATTTCCTACTCAATGAACTCTCAAATTCTCTGGGGTAAACTCTTAACGCAGCAAAAATTTTCCCAACCACAGTTACACACTGGCCACATCCCAACAGAAAAAAAAGGACCTTGTTTTACAACTTCTGAGCCAAAAAGTTCACTGGAAACCATGGTACCAACAAAATCATGCTGAAACTGCTTCTAACCACTTACCCTTTTTCAGAATAGCAATTAGGGCTATACATATTTGTTACAGGAGAAGAGGTGCCAGAAGTAGATTTATACATCTTTAGTTTAAAAAAGATACAGTGCTGAGGAAATCACCAGATGACTCTTTGGTTACAGCTCCAATTGTTTAGTTTATATGTGCCCTGATGAATGAGTCTCTCAAACCCAAATGTGAATGACAAAATAATGGTAAATGTTTAGTTACTGTTACAATCAATTTTGAATTTAAAAGAAAAAGTATAATTTGTGATCAGTAAATCCAAAGTGATCATTGATTAAACAAAAACAAAAATCACTAAAGAAATTTATAAATCCATACCTGAAGATTCTTTTCCAATTTGACAACTTTGGAAGTGTTAGGGTTTGGTTTCTTTTTAGTAAGTGTGTATGTTTTGTTGATTGAATTTATATCTTGTTTTTCAGGAATCAAGTTGCACCTATTGTCATGTATTTCCAATAATGGTATCATTAATAAGGATGTAGTAAATATATTTTCTGACTAAGAGAGAAAAAAGAAAGAGGAAAATAACTAATTCAAAAATGGAGACAAATGGAGGTACTACTGAGTAAGTGGTAATGGAAGCCCTGTTTATTTCTCTCCAAGAAAGAATTTGGCTCTGCTGAAATTTCTAGCAATGTAGTAATATTAAGTATTTTGGAAATGAACCAAAGATAAACTCTGATATTTAAAATCTTGAGAACTACAATTTTTTGACATCATATATAAGGCAGCTGACTCCTCTCATAACAAAAGAAATTTTAAAAAAGTAAATAAAATATTCTCTACAGTGAATAGTTTCTCTGCGAATTAGGCAAAATGATACTAAAATAAAAATCCTCCATGAATCTCTAATGAACTGGCTACACAATGAGTAAGAAATAAGAACCACTAGGACTTAAAGCAACCACTTAAAATAACAATAATAATAATCCTTTACAAACCTGCATGTCTGAAATGTCTTCAGTCAACAGTTGAGTGCCTGATTCTTCTTTTTCCCAATTATCTAAGACTAGTGATTTTCTGACTTTCTTCCCAGAAGCGGTATTCTAAAATGAGTAATTTGTTGTAGAAGCTTTATGGCAAAGTCTCTTGGATACAATAAGACTTTTAGTAACAATAATACTAGAAGATTACCTCTTGTTTGCAGCTTTTGTAGGCAGGTTCATCTTCCTCTTTGAGGAATAGGTCTGTTCCAGTTTCTTCTTTTAAAACTTCCCGAATATCTTCTTCCAAGAAGGCAAGTGGCTGGGACTAAATTGTTTTTTAAAATGTTGTAAAAAGTCATTTACAGCAATTCCTTTTTCTCCCTATACATAGGAAACCCATCTTTTATACTTTCCCATTATTGTCATAATTTTCTCCTAGGCCCTATAGATATATTAATTAAATTAATCCATTTTATAGCAAAACAATATTACACATTTGCAAGTACTGAGTAAAGAATGGCAATTTCTTCTTTCTAGGCTACTAAACAAAAATCTTCCTTTTGGGGAAACCACTGTAGCTCCTGCTTCAGGTCAGGATCTTCAGAATTAAACAGAAAAGAAAGATGTTATTTCTCAAGTATTTTTTTTACATAAAAATAAGAAATACAGAACATATTGGAAATACACTAGCTCTTATTCTACTTTTATTGTATTTATCACACGGTATGTAATTACTAGTTAACATGTTTCTGTTACCACTAAGATTGTGAGATACTTGACAGCAGTGATCAGGTCGTTTTATACCTAGCCTAAGCATCCTTGTATACCTAGATATAAGATCCTTGTATATATAAGATATAAGATCCTTGTATACCTAGCCTAAGCAAAGAGCTGACACAGTATCCAAGAAGAGGGAGAGAGTGAGTGTGTGTGTGCACGTGTGTGTAGTGTGGGAGGGTAGGTTATGAAGAGACAGACAATTGAGTGTGAGCTAAGTGATGAAATAGTCTCAAAATATTATTCATCTAGCTTTCTGTCAAATAGGTAAGCACAACTTATAACCCAGAAAAAAATTTTAAAATTATATCTAACTTATACCTATCATAACCAAGATATACTTGAAAAGGTAATCAAACCTCTACTAAATAAAAGAACTGGCAGCACTTAATAACCAGCAGCTGCCCGGTATGGTGGCTCACGCCTGTAATCCCAACACTTTCGGAGGCAGAGGTGGGCGGATCACGAGGTCAAGAGATCGAAACCCCATCCCTACTAAAAACACAAAAATTAGCCGGGGGTGGTGATGCGCACCCCAGGAGGCTGAGGCAGGAGAATTGCTTGAACCCAGGAGGCAGAGGTTGCAGAGAGCCGAGATCACGCCACTGGATTCCAGCCTGGGTGACAGAGCCAGACTCCATCTCAAAAAAACAAACAAACAAACAAAAACAAACAAAAATCAAAAAAACACCAGCAGCTTATGTCCCCAGCCAGCAAAGTTAGAGAGAATAGTATTCATATATAAATGAGATTTCACAGAACTTACAAAAACTTTTAAAATGAAAATAAAATGTTAAAAGTGTTCTCATCTAGACTGAGACATACAGGAATTATATTAATGTTTCTGTACACTTCTCAAAGAGCTTATTATTATTATTATTATTTACTTATTTATTGAGATGGAATCTTGCTCTGTCACCCAGGCTGGAGTGCAGTGGCACAATCTCAGTTCACTGCAACCTCCACACCCCCCGACCCTCCGGTTCAACCAATTCTCCTGCCTCAGCCTCCCGCGTAGCTGGGATTGTAGGCATCTGCCACGATGCCTGGCTAATTTTTTGTATTTTTACTAGAGACGGGGTTTCACCATGTTGGCCAGGCTGGCCTTGAACTCCTGACCTCAGGAGGTAATCTGCCCACCGCAACCTCCCAAAGTGCTGGGATTACAGGTGTGAGCCACCACACCCGGCCTCAAAGAGCTTTTTAATGATGATATTTCACCAAGAACATAAAGTATTCTTTTTTCAAATTAACTTTTAAGTTCAGAGGTCCAAGTACAAGTTTGTTACATAGGTAAACATGGGGGGTTGTTGTGTAGGTTATTTCATCACCTAGCCAGGCGCAGTGGCTCACGCCTGTAATCCCAGCACTTTGGGAGGCCAAACCAGGCAGATCACGAGGTTAGGAGTTCAAGACCAGCCTGGCTAACATGGTGAAACCCTGTCTCTACTAGAAATATAAAAATTAGCCAGGGTGGTGGAGGGCACCTGTAATCCCAGCTACTTCGGAAGCTAAGGCAGGAGAATCGCTTGAAACTGGAAGGCAGAGGTTGCAGTGAGCCGAGATCACACCACCGCACTGTAGCCTGGGCAACGAGAGTGAAACTCTGTCTCAAAACAAAACAAAACAAAACAAAAACAAAAACAAAGATTATTTCATCACCCAAGTATTAAGCCTAGTACCCATTAGTTATTTTTCCTGATCTTCTATCTTCCCACCTTCCACTCTCTGAAAGGCCCCAGTGTGTGTTGTTCCTCTCTAAATGTCCACATGTTCCCATCATTTAGCTCCCATTTATAAATGAGAACATGCAGTATTTGGTTTTCTATTCCTGTGTTGGTTTGCTGAGGATAATGGCTTCCAGCTCTATCCATGTGCTTGCAAAGGACATGACCTCATTCTTTTTTATGGCTGCATAGTAGTCCATGGCGTATTTGTACCACATTTTCTTTCTTTTTTTTTTCCCTCAATTTTTTTTGAGATGGGGTCTCACTCTGTCACCCAGGCTAGAGTGCAGTGGCATAATATCAGCTCACTGAAACCTCTACCTCCCAGGGTCAAGTGATCCTCCCACCTCAGTCTCCCAAGTAGCTAGGGCCACAGGTGCACACCACCATGCCCAGCTAATTTTTTGTATTTTTGGTAGAGATGGGGTTTCACCATGTTGTCCAGGCTGGTCTTGAACTCCTGAGCTCAAATGATCTGCCTGTCTTGATCCCCCAAAATGCTGGGATTACAGGCATGAACCACTGCATCCAGCCCACATTTTCTTGATCTAGTATAGTATTCTTAAAAAGATCTGGAGTTTTTTCCCCCTTTAAGAATATAAATGTCCTAGAATAGGGCTAAGACAGATTAATTCATTCACTAGGAAGAATCATTCTCTTAATTGCTCTAATGTGTCAAAAGCAAAGAACTCCTCCATTTAATACTTTTCAGGTTTGATACTACCAAACTTAATACTTCTACAGAGTTTTTAGCCTTTTGAGTAATTCATAGTAAATATTAAAACAATCAAAGTTTATTAAAAAGGCAACAGATATTTAAGATATACCTGATTAAAATTCCAAAGCCAATCTCCAAGAAGTGCATTTGACTCATAGTAAGATACAAAAGAAAGCTAAGTGGTTAGCATATAGTAGATGCTCAGTAAATAACTGGAGGAGGAGGAGGAGGAGGAGAAATGAGAAGTCAACTTACTGCAAAGAAATATATGAGCCTATAAATATTCTAGGAATTTTAATTTCTAAATCATTGCCTTCCTTTTATCTTAAATTGCTGATGCAAGTAATCTGTTTTGGCAACGGTCAAATTCTATCCAAAGAGCTGTGAGTGCTGCTGGTATTAAATTTAAAATGTCAGAAGGCTAGTAAACAAACTGACAAGGAATTTAGGTATTTGAAACCTATTACAAATGATACTTTTGTTTTTGTTTTTGTTTTTCAAACAGAGCTGCACTCTGTCCCTTAGGCTGGATTGCAGTGGCTTGATCACCACGCACTGTAGCCTCCACTTCCCAGACTCAAACAAACCTCCTGGGACTACTACAAGAGCATTCTACCACACCCAGCTATCAAATGATAATTTTTATTCCACTTATATGTTGACCAAATGACCCTGACTCACTGTAGAATTTTTAAATGCTTTCAAATCATTGTTTACTTGTCTAATCCCCAATTAGTTTACATGCCCCTATGAAGGCAGGAACCATACTTGACCTTTTCAACATTTATTCCATCCCTAAAGCCTAGTGCAGTGCCTGGAACCTATTAGGCACTCAATCAATATTTCCTGAATTAATGATGAATTTTTAAAATAAACAGCAAAACCTGAAACAGACAGGCTAAATCAATCAGGTAATTCCACACAATGGAATATTATGCAAACATTAAAAATTATGGGATAAATATATACATTTACTTGGTTAAATTAAAAAATGGTGTTATAAAATAATAAAGTGTGGTCATACTCTTGTTTTATTTATGTATATGCATAAATAAAAACTCCAGGAAGCTCTAAAGGAAACATGATTGTTCACAGCAGTACATGGAGCTAAATGACAAAAAGACTCGATCAACCCTACTATGTACCCTTTAACACAGTATTTTGAAAAAGAAAGAAAAGACTAGTAGATGTGTGTGTGTAACATGCTTTTGGGCAGAAAATTAATTAAATCAAGTAAACTAGAATTTGCTAACGAATCTAACCAAAAAGTGACTAAATATAGAAGAACATAACTAAAAAAACCCTGAAAGTCACCAATATTTTAAAAATTGTATTTCTAAAGAACTTGTCAGAAATCTGTAACTGCCTAAAATGCCCATCACTTTTCCAAGGTATTTCAAAGGCAGTAAGATATATGAAAGCACAGTAACTAGAACACTTCCCAGTCCTATTCATTCGTGAACTACTACCGCAAATACTATTATTAGAATAACAGCAGCAACCAAGCACACACTACTTGAAACTCAGACAAACTCTTTTAATTACATCAACTCTTTCAGCTTCACAGTAACAATTTGGGGTGTGTTTTATGATCTCCTTTGCATAGAAAAGGAAACTGAGCCTTTTCCTAATTAGTTTCCTAAAGAGGTACCCTGATTAGTTTCCTAAATATTATCATGAAAGTACTTCAGTATATTAAAATTATTTTATTCTAATACATGTAACCATGACTGAAACTACTAAAATGTAAATTTCAGTATTAAGAAAAGCGTTTCGGCCGGCCGCAGCAGCTCACTCCTGTAATCCCAGCACTTTGGGAGGCCAAGGCGGGCGGATCATGAGGTTAAGAGATCAAGACTATCCTGGCCAACATGGTGCAACCCAGTCTCTACTAAAAATACAAAAATTAGCTGGGCGTGGTGGCGCAAGCCTGTAGTTCAAGCTACTCAGGAGGCTGAGGGAGAATTGCCTGAACCTGGGAGGTGGAGGTTGCAGTGAGCCGAGATTGAGCCACTGCACTCCATTCTGGTGACAGAGCAAGACTGTGTCTCAAAAAAAAAAAAAAGAAAGAAAAATGAAAAAAAAAAAACAGAAAAGAGTTCCACTGACACCTGATCTGTTTTCTCTGGATGCTATAAAGCTAAGAATTCAAAACAAGCCAAGCAAGGATTTACAAGTTAAAGAAAAAGGTGGACACAAAATTCAAACTTAAAAATTAGGCAAGGTACAGTGGCTCACACCTGTAATCCTAGCACTTTGGGAGGCCAAGGCGGGGGTGGATCACCTGAGGTCAGAAGTTCAAGACCAGGCTGGCCAATGTGGTGAAAGCCCATCTCTACTAAAAATACAAAAATTAGCTGGGTGTGGTGGCGGGCACCTGTAATACCAGCTACTCAGGAGGCTGAGGCCTGAGGATCACTTAAACCCAGGGGGTGGAGGCTGCAATGAGCTGAGATCGTGCCACTTCACTCCAGCCTGGGCAACAAAGCGAGACTCCATGTCAAAAACAAAACAAAACAACAATAATAAAAAACTTGAAAATCAAAAGATAAAGCTTTGTATCTGTTTCAGTAAACATCTTTTTTAAATGTTAAAAATCAAAGTGATAAAAATCACAATGTGTTTTTTTAAAATTAGGAAAATTATTAAAAATAAAATGAATATACATACCCCAATTTTAAGAGGTCCATATTTTTTCTCCTGAGCAGCAAGCGCATTCTTAAAAGGAGTAGGAGTTCTTGGTGTGGTACCCAATATAGATCTTCTAATAGTAGGTGTTCTGAAACTATCCAATCATTTAGATATTTATGTTATAGTCACAATCTGATTGCATACGAGTTAATGAAAGCAAAGCAATTTAAGCACACACTAAATTTTCTCTCACACACACACACACACACACATATATATATGCTTCATCTAAACATTCTAAGACTATTTTACAGTATGCCTGCCTATGGTAATTCTGATTTCAATCACTCATCTTAAAATAGAAAAAAGAATTAATACAGAAAAAAGTACTAGAAATGTTTTCATTGAAATCAAAGATACTATATTTAAGTTGGTTTTGACTGTCCTAAGGAGAAAACATAAGGCTATGATTTAAAAAAAAAAATTCTGGCCCAGCCCAGTGGCTCACGCCTGTAATCCCAGCATTTTGGGAGGCTGAGACGGGCAGATCACCTGAGGTCAGAAGTCCAAGACCAGCCTGGCCAACACAGTAAAATGCCATCTCTACTACACATACAATATTAACCAGGTATGGTGGCACATGCCTGTAATCCCAGCTACTCAGGAGCCTGAGGCAGGAGAATCACTTGAACCCGGGAGGTGGAGGTTGCAGTGAGCCGAGATCTCACCATTGCACTCCAGCCTGGGCAACGAGAGTGAAATTCCATCTCAAAAAAAAAAAAAAAAAAAAAAAAAAAAAATTCTAAGTCCTGTAGGAATAGGGATTATGATACATGCTATTTATATGCACAAAAAGCTAATCTACTGTTGATATTGTGCTCCCCATTTTCTCTAACACAATTATTTAATACCTACTTACCCTACATTTTCCTTTTGATCTTTGGGAGTTGTTTCCTTATGAAGAGGAGTTGTAATAAGAACTTTCTGCCCACAAATAGGGGTTGATGTAAATGAAGGATTTTCTATATTAAGTTGTTCATTTCCAGGACATGTGTTGAAAAACTAAAAATGGAAGAGAGTTTAACGATGATTTCTAGAACATCAAAATCCCTACACAAACATTAAACTAAGATTTTCAAACTATTTCTTCATACCTCTTTTAAAAAGCTTATGAATAATATTACACTTATACTCCATGGAAATTATGCTCCATGAGGGTAGGAATTTTTGTCTGGTTTGTTCATTTTTGTCTCCCCAGCTCTTAGAACAGTGTTTAGCACATATAGGAATTCAAGAAACATTTAACAAATATTCAAAAGTTACAAAAAAAAATACTAAAAATTGTAAAAAGTGTATTATCAAATAGAGATCCATAGAAACTATAAACAGTTGCCGTGTTAAATCTAACAGTTTTGTACAACAGTGTGTAACTGAAAAAAACAAGTTTTTTTAGCTCTTATTAATAAATGACCTTAAGTGGCTTTTTCTATGAGAGTATTTTAATTTAGAATATAATAACGCTTTGCTGATGAGAAATACAGCTGTCTGGCAAATTTGCCTATCTAGAACACAGAACCTCTAAGAAGTCAAAATTGGTATCACCGAGTCCATCTTCTAAATTATATAATTTACAACTGTGAAATACTAATTATATTCACAATACAATTGTGAAATACTAATTTATTTTTGTAGTCAAAAATTAGAAACAGTGGTATGAAGCCATAGAAATGGCTTCAAAGCTCCTTATAACTAGAATGAAGTCTAGCTCTATCACTTCTGGCTCTGAATACTTGAATTTATTTTACCCTAAGATTAGTAATCAAACCCTCTTTTACAGGATAAAATCCAAGCAGTTTGCCATGGCAAACAAGCATCTTTCAGACACTTCTACCTTAGAATTCACACTTCAATAAAAATTGCTAGTGTGCAAAACTCCAGAATAGAAAACTGCTAGTGTGCCCAAGCCTACTTCACTTTCCCCAGTGCTTTTTAACTCTGAGAGCAGGTCTGGGGGTGAACAGACTATTCACATTGTAGTCTATACAAATAGCATTCCCTGAAGCATGGGTGTACAATTTTTAGAGATCTATGTTCTGCCAGATCCTACTTATCTCCCTAGCCTCAAAATATACCTCCAATAATATCCCAGCATTCTCCATGTTTATTTGACCATTAAACTCCCTTCTTCCCCCTTAAACTTTGTAGCCTCTGCCAAACACTTTCAGAAAACATCAGCTCCATCTCTTACTAACTGTTGCCTTTTACAAGTGGCTCAACTTCAGAATTTTATTCCACCTAACTCCTTTTGAAAGAGCATCAACTGAGATGCTATAAGAAAAGTGTTTGGAGGCCGGGCCGGTGGCTCACGCCTGTAATCCCAGCACTTTGGGAGGCGGATGTGGGCAGATCACCTAAGGTTGGGAGTTCGAGACCAGCCTGACCAACATGGAGAAACCCGTCTCTAATAAAAATACAAAATTAGCCAGGCATGGTGGCGCATGCCTGTAATCCCAGCTACTGGGGAGGCTGAGGCGGGAGAATCACCTGAACCCAGGAGGCGGAGGTTGCGGTGAGCCGAGATGGTGCCATTGCACCCCAGCCTAGGCAGTAAGAGCAAAATTCCATCTCAAAAAAAAAAAAAAAAAAAGTTTGGCAAACAGCCTGGAGCATAGCAAGTGTTCAATAGGAAACTGTCCTAACATGAACATCTACTGTCCAGGGGTATTATAAGAGAAGAAAGTAAGTAGGTAGTTCTGGACATCCTTGGGAAACCTCTTGACACATTAAATTCTTACAGTAAGCAATTATCTAAGTTTCTTCCAAGGAACGTTAAAAGGAAAAATTCAGCGGGCAAACTAAATAAATTACTTTAAATAGGTAAGGTCACTTTAAACTTTATCAGGTGTATCTATCGCACAGTAGTCAGTCAGGAAACTGGATCTCAGTCTCAGCCTTGCATTAGATAACTTTGGGCAAATCAATTTTACCTTTCCAGGCTTGTTTTATGATGAGTTCTATAAAGATATGGGACTACAAGATAAAGAAAATGTCTCTCTAAACACTGTAGTATAATATCATGCAGAACCGGGAGCAGTGGCTCACGCCTGTAATCTCAGCACTTTGGGAGCCAAGGCAGGTGGATTACTTGAGTTCAGGAGTTCAACACCAGCCTGGGCAACATGGCGAAACCCCATCTCTACAAAAAATACAAAAATTAGCTAGGTGTGGTGGCACGCATCTATAGTCCAGGCTACTTGGGGGCTGAGGCGGGAAGATCACTTGAGCCTGGGTGGTTGAGGCGGCAGTGTGCCATGTTTGTGCCATTGCACTCCACCCTGGGCAACAAAACAAGACCCTGTCTCCAATATATATATATGCCACTATTACATTTTGTGAGATACTTTCTAATCTCTCAGAGTTCAGTATTCTCAAGTATACATTTAAACACATTATTTTTTTATGTTATCAAAGTTACCAACTGCTAGTAAGGATATTAAAGATCTAATTTAATCTAACTCATTGACATTTAGAAACATAAACAAAATCAACACCGCTACCTGTGAAGGAGAAAATGGTAGTGTTTTCAGTGGTGTATGTTTTAGCGCTGTATTACCACCATCGTTCAATAAGCCATCCCTAAGTTCACTGCCTGGGGAAAGGCCCACTCGCATTTTTCTCTTCTTTCTGAGGATGGCTGGTGGAGTGCTAAACTTGGCTACATTTGGGGATGTTAAAGGAACAGCTTCACTGTTGCCACCATTACAAGTGTTTTTTTTCCCTTCAAGTACAAGACTGACGTTAAATTGGCATTCCATGGATCCTTCATTGTGCTGAATTCTCATTAATTTAACTGGGGTGGATTTGATAGGAGAAGCAGCAGCATCAGAAATATCAAAACTGGTAACATCACTCCATGCTACAGGATCCTGCAATAAATTAAACTGTTAATAAAGTTAATGCTATAACCTAGTTAAATCTGATCTTGAACACAGGATGATGATTTCCACAGAGTTAATTAACAACTCATTTTATCAGTGGAAACGCTTTCCTTGGACATTTTTTTTTTAAGCAAGGTCATTTGAGAGGAACAGATTATGGCTTTCCTATGATTCCAGAATACATAATAGTTCATCTAATTCAGTAGTTGAAGCTTACTGTCAAAGTATTTTAAGAAGAACAAATTGTAAGTTATTATCAAAAATTAAGTTATTATCAAAAAGTATAATTCGTTATAAAACTTCACATTCTACTCCACATCAGGAAGACACCATCAAATTCGGCATAATCATTTGGTAATGTGTATGGAACATGTTAAAAATGGTGATACACTTTGATCCAGAAATTCAATTTAACCTAAAGACATAATCATGATTTTGCACAAAGCTTTATATGTTATTCGTAATGCTGAAAAGCTAGACACTACCTAAATGTCCAATAATAATAGTACATTGGGTAAATATATTTTCTTATATTCATCTGATGGAATACTACAAAGCCCCTAAAATTCAAATTTAGGCCAGGCATGGTGGCTCACGACTGTAATCCCAGCACTTTGGGAGGCCGAGGTGGGAGGATCACTTGAGGTCAGGAGTTCGAGACCAGCCTGGCCAACATGAGGAAACTCCATTGCCACTAAAAATATAAAAATTAGCTGGGTATGGTGGCAGGCACCTGTAATCCCGCTACTCAGAAGGCTGAGGCAGGAGAAGCGCTTGAACCCAGGAGGCAGAGGTTGCAGTGAACTGAGATTGTGCCACTGCACTCCAGCCTGGGCGACAGAGTGAGACTCCATCTTAACAACAACAACAAAAAATTCAAGTTTAAAAAAGTTAAGGAAACAGAAACATGCTCATGATAGGGTGGAAAAAAAAAATCCACAAATGTAATACAGAAGTGTATTTTTGGGTTTAAAAATATAATGCATTTTCTAAGTATAGAACACAGACTGAAAGGAAAATATCAAATTATTAACTCTGGGTTTATGAAACATTTTAATTTTCTTTTTTACAGTTTTCTTTAGTTTCCAGCTTTCTCTAATGCACCTGTATAACTTATATAATAAAAAATGAATTAAGTTTTTAATTTTTAAAAATTCCTCAAAAGGCACATATTTGAGAAAATTTTAAACTTTTTTCCCCTAGAAGCCACTGCAAAATACCAGAACAAAATTAAGTATGGCATACAAAACATAAAACTGGTCAATGTCCAAAACTCAGTTTCTGAGCATGAAATCATGTAACTAAAATTGAACTTTTGATAATCTTACAATTTTTTACTTACAGATTCAATAAGTTCTAGAGTCTCTGCAAATTCTGGAATGGTCTGCAAAGAGGACAACACAGCGTTGGCCTCCACGGCCAGGAACTTTGTGGGTGAATTCTGCTGAGCAGACACAGGCTGATTTTCATCCATACTGTAAAACTCACTAGTGTGCTCGTCAAGGCTATTTAGAGTATTAGACATGTTATCATCCATGAGGAAACTACCAGACCAGCTAGAAAAACTTCCAGGCTGCTAAAAGTACAAAAGAAATTTTAATATTATTTGTCATTCTCAATGTAGGCATAAATTCAGATTTCAACACATTTCAATTAGGCTAAAAATATAGTAGCAAATATTTTGTCTTTCCTCAAATTGGTATACTTCTTTTCATTAAACGACATGCTTTGACTATGTTTTTTTCTAATTAAAATTTTTAATCTATACAATCATGATGAGATAAAACAAGCATTGACATACAACATAAAGTCCAAACTCTTAGAATTTGGCTACTCCCTTCCTTCCAAACTTAATTTCTCAACACTTCTACTCAAGAGCTATATATTTAAATCTTACCAGGTATATCTATTTATTCCTGGTAGTTATCAGGAATACCCAACTATAGCACTTGCAATTCTCCCAAAGAATTATACTATTTTGACCTTGAGTGCCTTTGCACATATTGCTGCTCCCTTTATCTATTAATAAAATGCTCTGTAACCTACTGACCAGGGAAGCTATTCTTTTTTTTTTTCCTGAGGTGGGAGTTTTCACTCAGTTGTCCAGGCTGGGGTACAGCGGTGCGATCTCAGCTCACTGCAACCTCCACCTCCTGGGTTCAAGCAATTCTCCTGCCTCAGCCTCCTGGGTAGCTGGGATTACAGGCACCCACCACTACATTCAGCTAATTTTTTGTATTTTTAGTAGAGACGGGATTTCACCATGTTGGCCAGGCTGGTCTCAAACTCCTGACCTCAGGTGACCTGCCCACCTTGGCCTCCCAAAGGGAAGCTATTCTTACCACACAGTTCAAATACTGGAAAGTACTTCATCTGATTGTACACTTTTATCTGCTTCATTTATAATAATGTTCTAATTCATTTATCTTGCTAACATATAATCATTGTCCTTCAAGGCTGAGTTCAATTAGGACTTCTTCCAGGAACTTCTTCCACCTTTCCCTGGTGACAAAAATCTAAATCAAGCACCTCTCCTATATGTTACCATAAACTTTGTGACTCACAAATTATCAAAAGTCAAAGAGAGAATTCTAAAAATAGCACGAGAGACCATGTACGGTGGCTCATGCCTATAGTCCCAGCACTTTGGGAGGTCAAGGCAGGCAGATTGCTTGAGCCCAGGAGTTTGAGAACAGTTTGGCCAACATAACGAAACTCCATTTCTACAAAAAATACAAAAATTAGCTGGGCATGGTAGCACGCGCCTGTAGTCCCAGAACTCAAAAGGCTGAGGTGAGGGCATCACTTGAACCCAAGAAGTCAAGGCTGCAGCAAACTGTGATTACACCACCGCACTCCAGCCTGGGTGTGAGACCCTTATCAAAAGAAAATTAAAAATAAAAATTGCAAAGTAAAAGTATTACATCACACATAAGGAAATCCTTATTAGATAACAGCAGATTTATCTGAAAAAACCTTACAGGCCAGAAGAGAATGAAATGATATATTTGAGAAGTACTGAAAAAAAAAAAAAAAAAAAAAAAAACAATGCCTGCCAAGAATACCCAGCAAAGCTATCCTTCAGAAATGAGGGAGAAATAAAAGTCTTTCCCAGACTTTTTCTTTTTAAATGGTGGCAATTCATCACCACTAGATCAGCCTTACAAGAAATGCTCAAAAAAGTCCTGTATCTGAAAGCAAAAAGATAACAAACACTATTATGAAAATATGTAAACGAATAAAATTCACTAGTAGAGCAGGTACACAAAGGAGAAAGATAAAATAATCAAACCGCTGTACTACAGAAAATCACCAAACTGCAACAATACACATTAAGGGAGGAAGAAAGAAACAAAGAATATACAAAACCAGAAAATAATTAACAAAATGAAAAGAGTTAAGTCTTCACATATCAGTAATAACCTTGAATGTAAACAGATTAAATTCCACACTTAAAAGACATAGACTAGCTGAATGGATTAAAAAACACATGACCCAACTATATGCTGCCTATAAAAACTTGTCACCTATAAAGACACATATGGACCGAATGTAAAAGGATGGAAAAAGATATTCTATGCAAACAGAAACTAAAAGCAAGCAGGAATAGCTATACTCATTATCAGATAAATCATAATTTAAGTTAAAAACTATAAAAAGAAACTGGGCATGGTAGCACATGCCTGCAACCACAGCACTTTGGGAGGCCAGGTCGGGCTCAGGAGTTCGAAATCAGCCTCGGCAACATAGCAAAACCCCATCTCCACAAAAGTAAATAAATAAATAAAAATAATAATTAGCTGGACATGGCAGCACACGCCTGTGGTCCCCACTACTTAGGAGGCTGAGGTGGGAGGATCACCTTAGCCTGGGAAGTTGAGGTTGCAGTGAGCCGAGATCACAGCACTGTATTTCAGCCTGGGGGACGGAGTGAAACCCTGCCTCAAAAAAACAAAACAAAACAAACAAAAAAGAACACCCTATAAAAAAAGACAAAGAAGGTCAATATATAATGATAAAGAGATCAATTCAGCAAGAGAATATAATTGCAAATATATATACACCAATATCAGAGCACCTAGCTACATCAAGCAAATATTATTTGATCTAAAAGGAGTAATAGACTCCAATACAAAATAGTTGGAGCCTTCAACACCCCACTCTCAGCAATGAAAGATCATCTAGACAGAAAAATCAACAAAGAAACAAACATTGGCTTTAAATTGAACATTTATCCCGAATGAACCTAACAGCCATCTACAGAGTATTTCATGCAATATCTGCAGAATATACATTCTTTTCATCAGCACATTCTCCAGGACAGACCACACATTAGGCCACAAAATAAGTCTGAACAAATTTAAAAGAATTAAAGTCATATCAAGTGTCTTTTTTGACCACAGTGAAATAAAACTAGAAATCAATAACAAAAGGAACTTTTGAAATTGTAAACAGAAATTAAACAACATGCTCCTGAACAACCAATAGGTCAATGAAGAAACTAAGAAGGAAACCAAAACATTTCTGGAAACAAATGAAAGTAGAAACACAACATACCAACACCTACGGGATATAGCAAAAGCAGTATCAAAAGGGAAGTTTGTAGCAATAAATGCATACATCAAAAAAGTAGAAACATTTCAAATAAACAATGTAGCTAGAAAAATAAGAACAAACCAAACCCAAAGCTAGTAGAGGAAAATCAAAAGCAGAAATAAACAAAATTGAGACAAACAAATACTATGAAAGGAGAAGTTGGCTTTTTAAAGAAATAAACAAAATTGACAAACTGCTGGCCAGACTAACCAAGAAAAAAAAAGACCCAAATAAATAAAATCAAAAACAAAAAAGGAGACACTACAACTGATACCACAGGCATACAAACGATCATTAGAAGCTATTATGAATAACTGTGCATCCAATTAGAAAACTTAGCAGAAATGGATAAACTTCTGGACAGATATAACCTATCAAGATTGAACCAAGAAGAAACAGAAAACCTGAACAGACCAATTACAAGTAGCAAGATTGAATCTATAATAAAACGTCTCCTGTAAAAGTAAAGCCCAGGACCCAATTCATTGCAGAATTCTATCAAACATACAAAGAAGAACTATCAATTCTTTTCAAATTCTCTCAGAAAACTGAAGAGTAAGGAACGTTTCTAAACTCATTCTACAAGGTCAGCATTACCCTGATACCAAAACCAAATAAAAAAACTGTAAGCCAATATCCCTGATGAACATAGATGCAAAAAGACATTCACCAAGATCAGACAGAATTTATCCCAGGGATGTAAGGATGATTCAACCTACATAAATCAATAAATAAAATCAAATATCAATAGAATAAAGATTATCTTAATAGACATGAAAAATCATTTGATAAAATTCAACACCCCTTCATGATAAAAACTCTCGACAAGTTAACTATAGAAAAAACATACCTCAACACAATAAAGGCCATATATGACAAAACCACAGCCAACATCATACTGAACAAGGAAAAGCTGAAAGCTTTTTCTCTAAGATCTCAAATGAGACAAGGATGCCCATTTTTACCACTTTTATTCAACTCAGTACTGGAAGTCCTAGCCAAAGCAATTAGGCAAGAGAAAAAAAAAAAAGGCATCCAAAATGGAAAAAAGGAAGTCAAGCTGTGCCCATTTGCAGACAACATGAACTTAAATATAGAACACCCTATAACAACCTTACATAAAGTTCCTCAAAAAAAACTCTTAGAACTGATAAACAAATTGGGTAATGTTGCAGGATAAAACATCAACACACAAAAAATCAGTTGTATTTTGGCTGGGCATGGTGGTTCACACCTGTAATACCAGCACTTTGGAAGGACAAGGCAGGAGGATCATTTGAGGTCAGGAGTTCAAGACCAGCCTGGGCAACATAGCAAGACCCCCATCTCTAAAACTAAAAAATAAATCAGTATTGTTTCTATACACCAACAACAAACTAGCACAAAAAGAAATCAAGAAAGCAGTGCCATTTACAATAGCTACAAAAAAAATAATAATACGTAGGATAAATTAAACCAAGAAGGTAAAAGATTTCTGCAAGAAAAACTACGAAACACTGATAAAAGAAATTTAAGAGGACATGAAAAAATACAGAGATCTTCCATATTCAAGAATTAGAATAATAAATATTGTGAAAATGACCATATTACCAAAAGTAAACTACAGTTCAGTGCAATCTTTATTAAAATACCAATGACATTCTTCCCCAAAGTAGCAAAAACAATGCTAAAATTCATTTAAAAAACTACAAATAGTTAAAGTAATCCTGAGCAAAAAAACAAACAAGCAAAAACAAAAACAAAGCTGGAGGCATCACACTAACAGGCTTCCAAATATTCTATATAGAGCTGCAGTAACCAAAACAGCATGGCACTGGGACAGAATACAGAACCCAGAAATAAATACACGCATTTACAGCCTTTCAACAAAGGCACCAAGAACACTCATTGAAGAAGAGACAGTCTCTTCAATAAATAATGCTGGGAAAACTGGATATCCATATGCAGAAAAATGAAACTAGCTCCCTATCTCTCACCATA